GACAGAGGCAAGCGGATCTCTGTGAGATCGAGGCCAGCCTGGTCTAGAAGAGCTAGTTCTAGGACAGGAACCAAAAAAGCTACGGAGAAACCCTGTCTCGAAAAAAAAGAAAAAAAAAATTCTAGGGGGAGCTGGAAAGATGGCTCAGTGGACTAATAGAGCACTGGTTGTTCTTCCAGAGGACCCAGGCTCAGTTCCCAGCAACCACGTACGTGGCAGCTCACAACTGTCTGTAACTTAGTTCAAAGGGTCCTGACACCTGCACACAGACATATACATATATGCAAAGCACCAATGCACATAAAAATAAATCTTTAAAAAAACATTCTTAGCTGGGTGGTGGTGGCACATGCCTTTAATCTCAGCACTAGGGGGAGTCAGAGGCAGGTGGAACTCTCTGAGTTCAAAGTCAGCCCTGTAGACAGAGCTGGTTCCAGGAAAATCCTGTCTTTAAAATAAAGGGGGGCCAGATGGTGGTGGCGCACGCCTTTAATCCCAGCACTCAGGAGGCAGAGGCAGGCGGATCTCTGTGAGTTCAAGGCCAGCCTGGTCTACAAAAGCTAGTTCCAGGACAGGCTCCAAAGCTACAGAGAAACCCTGTCTCAAAAAATGAGGGGGGGCCTTCATTTCAGAGCTAGACATGATGAAAACTGGACACTGAATTACAGTATGGAGGTTAAAAAAATTCACACTGTAATCGGACAACTTGGTACTAATTATTAAAAAGATATATGAAGGCCAAAGGGAAGGCTCAGCTATTAAGAAAAGTACAAACTGCTCTTGGAAAAGACCCAAGTTCAATTGTCAGCACCCACATCAGGCAGCTCACAATTGCTTGTAATTATAGCTCCAGAGGATCTGATGCCTCTGGCCTCCACAGGCATTCCTGGACAACACTCATATACAGACCCATAGATATACACATAATTAAAACAACAAATCTTTTTGTTTGTTTCGCTTTTTTGAGATACAGCCTCACTATGCAACCCTGGCTGGCCTGAACTCAGATATCCCCCTCCCTCTGTCTCTCAAGTGTCAAAACTAAAGGCATGCGATATCACGTCCAACCACAGAATAAACAAACACAAAGATATCCAACCACTAATGACCTGATGACCTGAATCGGATCTCTGGGACCTACAGAGGGGACGGAGAAAGATCCCCTCAAGTTTTCCTCTGACCTCCACCCAGGCACTGCAACAAATGCATGGCCTTCCTCAAATAAATAACACTCAACAGAACATTATTTGCATTTTGAGAATTCTTTCATGAAAGGTAGTGTTGAAAGTAGTTAAGATTATTGTCCTATGGAACTGACATACATTCCAGAGAGGGAACTCAGCAATATAATATTATATATTAGTTATATGATCCCATACCTATTTATCAACAATCTAAAAGTCCATCAAAAAGACATGTTAAATATGCTACCAATAATGAAGCATGAGAGAGTAAAAGGAAACCACCTCTCATGGCACAGCTCTGCTCTAGAGCTCCTGGCTACCATCTGCAGGACTGCGGGCTTGATCTCTAGCCAGCAGTTAAAAAGAGAGATCTTCATAAAATGGTGAGAAATGTGTCCAAAGTATATAGGGAAGAAAAAAGCAAGTGGCTGCAGAGTATGCCTGGTATGTAATAACAAAGCAAGCATGTGTATAAAATCAAGATTTCTTCCCAGGAATAGGAAGGACTAAGATAATGTAGGAGAAGAGACTTTCAATATTCCATCCCATCACTGTCTCCCCCCACTCCACTGCAGAGGATCCATCCAGGATAAGCACGTAAGTGCTCTACCATTGAGCTATAGCCAAGTCTAACAACCTGAGTTCAAGTCCAGGCCTCGTGCAGTGGAAGGAGAAAACTGATTATCACACCTTGTCCTTTAACAAACATGAGCACCCAAATTCATATTCTCTCTCTCTCTCTCTCTCTCTCTCACACACACACACACACACACACACACAAAATAAACTTAAAAAAAAGTACATAATCAAGCTTCATAACTCACCACATAATCTAACTTCTTAGTTGTGAGCCTTAGCCTTTAATATCTGAGCCATCTCTCTACCCCAACCCAATTTTTTTTTTTTTTTTTTTTGGTTTTTCGAGACAGGGTTTCTCTGTGGCTTTGGAGCCTATCCTGGAACTAGCTCTGTAGACCAGGCTGGCCTCGAACTCACAGAGATCCGCCTGCCTCTGCCTCCCGAGTGCTGGGATTAAAGGCGTGCGCCACCACCACCTGGCTTTAACCCAATTTTTAAATAGGGAAAGGATACAGACATTTCTTCTAAGATCAACAAATGATCAACTTCACTAGCAATTGGAGAAATTCAAACCAAACCCACAGAGATGTCACTACTCCATACTCAATAGGTTGGTGATGATAAAACAGAATGTCATTGTGCATGTGGTGGCATACAGATGATCAGGCAGGATGCTAAGTTTAAGTGCATCATGGACCACATAGCATAATTTGTCTCAGAAGAGAACATAACGAAAGACTGTAGTAATAAGAACTGGCAAAGAAGGCTGGGCATTAATTCAAGCACTTGGGAGGCAGAGGCAGGAGGATCTCTGCCTAGCCTACAAAACAGAATAGCTAGGATTAAATGAAACATCTCAAAAACAAAAACAAAAAACCCCCAAACAAAAGTTGCAAAAATGAAGAACTCAGAATCCCTATACCTGCAGTTAGCAGTGTAAATGTGCAAATGGTACAGGCAACCTCATTCTTTCCCCCTTTCTGGAGGAAAGGTCTTTCTATGTAGCCCTGCTAACTAGCCTGGAACTCATTATAAAACCCAGGCTGGCCTTGAACCTGCAGCATTCTTCTGTTGCCCACTTGCTGAGATTATATATGGGTACCACCTAGCTTGTGAACACAGTTCCATGACTAGGACATTACACCTGAGCCATAAAACCCTGTGACTGGAGGGCCAGCACAATGACTTATGGGAAAGGTGCCTGCTGCCAATCCTTGGAGAGTTAACTCCCTGGGACCCACATGGTGGAGGGAGAGAACAGACTCCACCCAAATGTCCTCTAACCTCCACATGTACAATGTGGCACACACACATGCACAGAGAAAATAGAAATGTCTATTTAGAGGGCTGGAAAGAGGGCTCTGTGGTTAAGATCATTGGCTGTTATTCCAGAGGACCTGGGTTTGGTTCCCAGCACCCACGTGGAGGCAGACAATCACTATAACTCCAGCTCCAGGGGACCTGACACCTTCTTCTGGTCTCCTTGTTCTCCATGCCAGACAAGTTATTTATAATAATTTTCTTTCTGAGTCAGGGTTTCTCTGAGTAGCCCTGACTTTGAACTCAGAGATCCATCTGCCTCCTGAGTGTTGTTGGGATTAAAGGAATGCACTGCCTTTCCAGGCTAGCAGTTGGCTTTTTTTTTCTTTTTTCCTCCCTGAGACAAGCTCTAGTGTAACCATGGCTGGCTATACTTGAACTCAATGTGAAGCCAAGAATGACCTCAAATTCCTGACCACCCTGTCTCTACTCTCAAGTATTGGCATGGCGACTTCATCTGCAGTCTCGGGGGCTAAATTTAAGGCCTTCTACCTCGCAGATTAAGTATTCCACCACTGTGCTACATTCCCAACCCGCTTTTTACTTTTCTGAGATAGGGCCTCACTACTGGGTTGCTCAGGGTGGCCTTAAACTCAGTCTGTAGTCAAGGAAGGCCTTGAATTTATAATTTTTCCTATCTCAGTTTTGGGAGTGAAGATTACAAAGTTTAACTTCTAGGCCTAATTTTGATTATATTTTGGAAGGTGAATTTGAAGGTATGTGAATTCTGTCAAAAACTTCCTAATTCATTTGAGATAGTACCTTACAGTGTGTACCTAGCTGTAACTATGCAATAATGGGTAGCCTTGAATTGGGGTACTCCTACAGTCTCAGACTCCCTGAATGTTGGGATTATATACAAAGCCACTAAGTCCAGATAAAATTATTCAAAATAAAAGGAAAGAGAATATTTGTAGAGTTGATTAAACCTCCAAATACTCAAAACGTCAGGATTAAATTTATGCTTCTTGATGATTTGTAGTCAACACTTCGCAATGAGTTTAACATATACTTAGAATAAAGAAGTGTTACACAGGTTTTTGTCTACTATAGAACACATCTTTCCTAGGAAAATTAAGAACCAAACTGAATACAATGAAACTTGCAATTTTTAGCATTTCCAACGGACTATGCCAGCTGATTTGGATATTTCAAAAGGGAAGGAAGGCAAAGCTTGATTCTAAACAAATAATAGGTGGACAGTGGTATTCTTTTCTATTCATTACGTGTAATGAAAGGGAAAAAGTTAATAAAAGAGTGAACAAAAGTCCTACTATAAATCATTTTTTCCTTTGGCCAAAAGAAAAGCAAACGGAAATGACAAATGGCTATTTTTGAATATTCGATGTTAGGTCTCAGACGCCTTTAAAGAAAAATTGTGAAAAAGAACAACTATGCCCACGATCAGAAAAGGAAGAAACCCGGGTACGATGTGCGGGCGGTGTCCCCAGCCGCGGGGCCCGCGTCCCTGCTGGTCCTTGCGGTGAACTGAGGCCCGGAGGCCCAGCCAGACGAGCTCCGCCGCGGCGCGCCTGGGGACGCTCTCCGCTCGGAAGGTCAGACCGAGCTAAGCCGCCCGGCTCCCGAGAGCTCCACCCTCCCCTCTCGCTCTCCCTCCCCTTAGTGGCCCCCGGAGGGGAGCAGGCGTGGCGCGGCGTGAGGGGGGGGGGGGGAGAGGTGGCGTCCTCAGCGAGACGAGCTCCGCCGCCCCAGAGTGGCGGCCTTGGGTTATTAATAAACTCCGCTTTTGCCCAGGCTGCGCTCCGAAGGCGGCCGTGGGCTCGGCTGGGCCTCAGGCCCGGCGGGAGCAGAGCTGGAAGGAGAGCCGGGGCCCGAGTGGGCCCGCGCCGTCGCGCTGAGGGCGGCGGCCGGGCGGAGAATAATGCACACTGGGTAAAAACACATTTATATACGAACCTCCGAGAAAATTTTCCAACAATTCCTTCGTCCGACCACCATGCACCAGGACAGGAAACAGCCGCCCGGCCCCCAGGCCCCGCAACCCGCATAGCAATTCTGGAGCCCGCCCCTGGCCTCCATTGGGCTGTCATTACGTCACTCACCGGGAGACTCTTGCTCTCTATTGGTCCAAACGTCGTGACGGACAGGAAGGCGCCACCGACCACGCCCACGGTCCGTGCGTGATCGCAGCCCGGTCTTCCGTCCCGCGCCGGAGTGGCTGGCGCCAAGGGCAGCAGCAGGGCTTCCGTGTCTGAGTGGCTGGGGGAACCGCCCGTCCCCGACCACTCCACCCGGCCAACGAGGGAGTTATGCCGAGTCCGGGGCCCCAGCGGGAGGCGCCATTTTGTAGCGAGGGAGGGAGGCCGGTCCTTTTGATTGCCCGGGAGGGAAATGGGGTGATGGGCGCCATTTTCCCTACAGGACGGAGGTGGCGGCTCTGGATCCCGTGGGCTTTCGGAGCGCTCGCTGGGAGGCCGGATGGGCCTCGCCGTGCGACTGGCTACTGTGACTCCGTCGGGAGGGAGGGCGGCGGGGCCCACGCGTCCCCCTGGGGCTCTGGGCTGGCCGAGGCCTTCGCTCTGGGGCTCTTCTGTCCCTGTCGCCGATGGCGGCACCGGGCTCCGAACCTGCCTGCCCTTTCTCCGTCCCAGGGCGCGGCCGTGCGGGGGAAGTTTGCTTGCGCTTTCCGCTGCTTCTGCAATTCCGGCGGAGCCGCGCTTCCGCTGGGAGACTGTGTCCGTGAACTTGTCGACCGACTTGGCGTCCCTGTTGTGTCCGAACTGAAGGATAGAGAAAGCATCCGTCGTGCTCTAAGTCTATTGAGACATTAGTTGTGGCGTGTGTGGTATGATGTTTATTGGTGCTCTCGACCCAGTCCTTTTAAAAATCATTTTAAATATGAGAAATTTCAGGCTGTGTTCGGTGAAGATGAGGTGAGCTGCAGTGTACGCAGTTAAACCGAGGCGGCAGTTTTTATTCCAATAGGATAGGGAGGATAACCAGCAGCAGCAGATTTTATTCAGTTTGTTGCATTTCAGGTAAGGATGGAATAGATAAAAGAATAAGTAAAAATGTGTTAAAGACAAGTAGAAACTATTTGCATTTGTAACTGAATCTAGTTGAAACTTGAGTGTTACATACTCTTACCTCACCCGGTTTTTGAGACTGAGCTCTGCAGTCTAGGCCATGCTATGAACTTGGTCATCCTGCTTCAGGCTCCAAGAGTGCTAGGAGTACAAGTCCACCAGACCCAACATCATTCCACTTGGGTATAAGTCGTTTCAGTTAGGTAGGCATAATGACATAATTGATACGCAAATGCCATTTGAAAGGAATAGAACTTGGAGCTTTTAAACATAACTTTTTTTTTTCTTTTTTGACTCGAGAGGTCTCCTGGCTCAGATTTGCTATGTAGTGGGCGATAGCGACCCTGAAAGAATGATCCACCAGGCACCAACTCCCAAATCCTGGCATGATAGGTGTATGTCACCTTTTTTGTCCTTAGACAGGGTCTTTCTACCTCCATATCTGGCCAGTAATGGAATTATAGGCATGTGTCACCATCCTTAGTTCTGAACGATATTCTTTACAGCAGCGGTGCTCAGCCTTCCTAAGGCTGCAGTCCTTTAATAGTTTATGTTGTAGTGACCCCAACCATAAAATGATTCTCGTTACTACTTCATAACTGTAATTCTGCTAGTCGTGAATTGTCACATGAATACCCAATATGTGACCACTGGGAAAGGCAGTCCGACCCGATAAGGGGTCACGGCCCACAGGTTGAGAACCCTGCTTTAGAAGTACTTGTAATTGCAATATACCTGGGTTTTCTTCACAGGAATGCAAAGTAAAGTTGTGCTTACTCTTTAGCCCTTGAGGAAAATGGGACATGACACTTGATTAGGCTACCTTATTTAAATTTATTAGATTTTTCAGTCCTGTACTAAAAAATATACTTTCTGTACCCATAGATGGTATGATTTTTGAATCAAATCTTTCTGAACATGAAGTTTAGCGAATTCTATACTCCAGGTTACTCACTAAAAAAACCTGCTAATGGTGAGTCTGTACTATTTTAATATAAACGACTGTCCATTGACTCCTTGTGCATCCATGTGATACTAGAGATCAGATCCTCATACATAGATATGCCAGGCAAGTGCACCGCTATTGAGACATGTCTACCTTCCCCTTGCCTGTTTAAAACTGGCTTGTACTGGTAAAGATTGGGTGATGCAAAAAAAGGGGGGGGGGCTGGAGAGATGGCTCAGCGGTTAAGAGCATTGCCTGCTCTTCCAAAGGTCCTGAGTTCAATTCCCAGCAAACACATGGTGGCTCACAACCATCTGTAATGAGGTCTGGGGTCCTCTTCTGGCCTGCAGGCATACACAGACAAAATATTGTATACTAAATAAATAAATCTTAAAAAAAAGATTGGGTGATGCTAGATTACATTTAGAGCCTCTCACTAGAGTTTTCCTGTTTTGGAGCCCATCAGATTTGTGATGTACCAGTATATTCTTGGTTAGCTTTTCAAAATAATGTTGGTAATCAGACTTACTGGTACTATAAGGACAAAATTCTCTAAGGAATAAAATTAAGACAAAAAACTTGCTAAGCAGCTGAGGCTGTGCCAGATTTATAATCTTGTACATATATCACATGACTGGCAAACCCATAAAATTTTAGTTGTCTAATTGTTTCTGCTTTGTCTAATCTAAAATTATCTCTAGAGATTAGAGATCTTTGATTCGTTTAATTTTGGGATATGTGAGCTGAGAGACCTTTGCATATAAGTATTTGCATCATGGCTATTTATTAATTCTTATTAAATGGTCATATAAGGTTTCTTTTGTGGCTCTTTTCTTTGACCATAACCAGTACCACTATACTGTCATTAATAAATCTTTTTAAAGCTTGTTTCAGATATTCTGGTCTCTTGGTGGGGGGCAAAAAATGAATTTAAGGTGGTATCAGGAATGCGTGTAGATCAACTTAGAAGTACATTGTAGTATTAACAGGTATAGGAAGTTCTTTTTTTTTCCAGTTTGCTTGGTTTAAAAGAACCCAATTTTTTAAAACATCCTGGTTGACATCTTTTGACATGGCGATACGAGAGTAAATTCTGGTCTTTTATGAACGTGTAGCTCTTTTGAAATACATCTCATCACATATGATTTATTCAGTGTATGAATATGAAGCTGCCTTGTTCACATACCATACTGCACTCAAATGTAAGGAGCCCCTTGTCACTAACTTATTTTATCAGTTATTTAAGAATTTATGAACCTATGTTCTGCAGCTGGAGATGGATCAGGTTAAAAGCTGGCTTCAATTCTCAGCACCCACATTGTCAATTGAGTTCCTCTTTGGACACCCTCTTCTCATTTCTTTGGGCACTGTTGTAGGATGGGCATAGACATATATATAACCAACCCCCCCCACAAATTTAAGAAAATCTGAAGTGAGAGAAATGGCTTAGTTGGTAAGAACACAAATTGTTCTTCCAGGGAGCCAGAATTTGATTCCTGGCAACTACATCATGGAGCTCACAGCTGCCTGAACTCCAGCTTCAGGGAGCTGACACTTGTGGTATATTCCTTTATGCTGTGTGATGACATGTCACTGACTGGCTTAATAAAGAGCCAAATGGACAACAGCTAGGCAGAGAGATTGGATAGGACTTCTGGAGACAGAGAGGAAGAAAGGTGGAAAACACAGCGTGGGCAACACAACAGAAAATAACTAAGTCATAAAAGCTAGTGAGACATATAGTGAAACATATAGGCATCCTCCTGAATATTAACCTTCAGCAGGCGATGAAAGGAGACAGAGACCCACATTGGAGCACCGGACGTAAACCTCAAGGTCCAAATCAGGAGAGAGAGCACGAGCAAGGAACTCAGGACCGCAAGGGGTGCACCCACACACAGACAATGGGGATGGTTCTACTGGGAACTCACCAAGGCCAGCTGGCCTGGGTCTGGAAAAGCCTGGGATAAAACCGGACTCTCTGAACATAGCGGACAATAAGGACTACTGAGAACTCAAGAACAATGGCAATGGGTTTCTGATCCTACTGCACGTACTGGCTTTGTGGGAGCCTAGGCAGTTTGGATGCTCACCTTACTAGACCTGGATGGAGGTGGGGGTTCCTTGGACTCCCCACAGGGCAGGGAACCCTGATTGCTCTTCGGGCTGAGGGGGGGGGGGCTTAATTGGGGGAGGGGAAGGGAAATGGGAGGCGGTGGCGGGGAAGAGACAGAAATCTTTAATAAATAAATTAAAAAAAAAAGCTAGTGAGAGGTATACGCTGAGGCCAACCTTTATAGTCTGTTCATTATTTGGGAGCAGGTACACCTCTCACTGACCTCGCTGGGTATATAGTTACACACATACAAGTAAATCATAAAAATTTAAGAGATTACTTCTAAAACCAAAAAACCTGTCTTTTTTGTAATATAATCTCTAAGTTTTTAATTTGTTAGGATGTGCAATTATTTAAATAGTGTACAAGTGATTTAAATTTCTAGGTGATCACCCCCCCCCCATCATTAAAATCATGGGTGGGTATTTTTGTTTGAGACAGAGTCGATGTGTAACTCTTGCTTCCTGTAACTTACAGGCTGGCCTTGAACTCTATGCCTCCATAGTAGGGCGTTAAACACCTGTGTCTTCAAGCCCTGCAAAAGCATATTCCTTGTAAATTTCTATTTGAGGCGTACATGTGGTTTTGCCACCAAGTGCATGCAGTGCCCAATGGGACCAGAAGAGGGAGCCAGATACCCTGGAACTGGAGTTAATGTGCTTGTGAGTCATGTGGCTTCTGAGAATTGAACCTGCCTGGGTCCTGTGGAAAAGCAGCCAATATACTTAACCTTCTTCAGAGTCCCAGTTCTTGTAATTTGTGTATAAAGCACAGTATACATCATATTATACCAAGGGTGACCAATACTCTACCTTGTAGTATATTGCGGTTTAAGGTAGGACAGAAGACAACATTAGAGTCACCCTGAAACTGGAATGAGGGACGGTTGTGAGCCACC